TGGCCAGTATTATTATACTATCATTAGCCAATACTGTTCTAATGTTTGATGTCAATTTAGAGCTCAAAATTGCTGGACTAAAAATAATTCTAAATTTTGTATGCGTGCATGAAATATTTACCCTCAGTACGGATGAATTTTCATTGTACTTTCAATTTAAAATTATACATTGGTGTATACAGTACTGGAATTATTAGATTTGAACTAGAATGGATTTATAGATATTTTGTAACTTTAAAATATCTACCAGAAATGATACTAGCTTCAATTATAAGCCCATTACATTCTTGTTAAATGATTCTGCTTTAGAACTTGCTATCAATGAGTGCAAACTGTAAGAACGAATCGGTATTTGCGGTAGCTCGAATTTATGAATATTAGTAACATGAATTATAATTGCGTAAACCCGGTAGTGAGGATTTCTATTATACTAGAATTGATAAAGAATATTTGGGAAGAATTATCTTATTGCATAGCTTTAAATCTATCGAGATATTATCTCCAATTGATGATGATAATGAATTTCTTCGATATCAAGAATATAGAGAATATGTTAGTTTAATTAAGTACGACTGAAAAATAGTCACCTACGCATGATGATGTATTTGAAATCAGGTTTAAAAACCACAAATACACTATATGAGAATTATTCTTTCACCTACAGTATATACTTGACTAAAGCGAATAATATAACGTGCTGAAAACTTGCGTATTATGAAATTATATTTGCACAATAATACCCAGTTATTAAAAAATCAAAGCCTTTGCATCGACTAACGACTATTTCATTACTAGTTGATGAATAATACTTGAATACAGATGATATTCTATTTCCAAATTTAGTCAATCTATTCGGCATTGAATTAGCCACATTGTTCAATTAATATCTAATTTCTCAACTAGAGTTAAAATTAATGATTGCTAATCAAGACTACACTGCAATCAGAATATATCGGAAATGGTTTCTATTTAGAAGAAACCTAGCTTACTTAGAGGTACGGTTACTGTCATTAAATTGGACGCCACAGATTCGCATCGATTAACTGAGATACAAGAAAAATTTCCAATTTGACCAGGTTCTGTTCGATCCCTGATCAAAGTACTTCGAGTAGTAGTTTGGTTGATATACTCATATGTAGTATTATTAGAAGGGTATAATATTATGATAATGGCCATTATAATATCTTCTTCAGACGATTTCTGGTCTTGAATTCCCCTCACTGTACACCGAAGAGTTATCTCTTTCGATGTTTCTTGCTGAGTGATATTAATTATGCCATAATTAAGACATGCTGCTTTCAATATAGAGAATGGAAAACTAAATTAGAATCGAAATAAGATAGATAATATCATAAATCCTTGATAAATCTTAAAGAGGATAATAATTTATAATGATAGTTATTCCACAAAATTAGTTGTGACTATCCCAAACTACTAGAATACAATAGATCATTCTCAAAATTACCTAGAGCTTTTAAATCGATAAATCTTTGATTAGTCAAACCACATCCCCAAGTATGACTAGCAAATGTGAAACTGTAATTCCTACATCGCTAAAAGTAAATTTTCGAAATGCTAAGGTATAACTATAAATGCAGTAAAGATCTAGTTTAGGACACGGAGTTGGAGTAATGAATGTATTATTTTTATCATCTACAGCGGTACTATTTTGAATAAACAAGAATTCTCCACCAAATTGGTGTGACATTTCATTTTATTGGCTTTTATTCTAAATGTAAGATTAAACGGATGGCCGATATATCCGAATTGTTGACATTCAAAGGGCAATAATTTGCAGTCTTCATCTTAACATATTTCCTGTGATAATATCTTCTTTAAGTAGCGTAAAGTATTTTAAGGTAGACGATGATAGAAGGTATAAAGGATTTCATTGAGATACAAGTTATAGGCTAACAATGATATGGTTGTTATAGATAAGTTATTTGAGATAGCAGGAACGTAGGAACTGACTAACGAGTTAGCTTACAAAGGTATTTATAGGTTTTAGATGAGATTGAGATAATGTCTTTATATGTATAGTATGTCGTCTATATATCGTCATGATGTCGTACATTATGAATGTAATGCAATACAGTACTTAAACGGTATATGATAAGTATTCGTATATTGGGATATTACTATGCTAGGCATCTTCTATATAAGATCATAATGTTACATTTCCTAGTGGAAACATAAAGATAACTCAATGTTAATAGGCCTGTCTAAGATAATTTTTCAATTTCAAAAAGGCAACAGCAAATAGTAACTACTAATAACAGTAGAAGAAATATTCAATGGAACGAATCCATTTCATACATAATTAATTTAATCCCCTTTAAATACCAATCAAAAGGATTTATCGACGAAATAAGCTAGATCACGATAAATTTGTCTGACGATTTAACTCTATTTGCTATATAATGAAATGGTTGGAAAGTAAATATTTGATATCATCACAATATTAGAGAAGTTTCTAGCAGAATTATGTTATTCTATAGTAAAAGAATCAGCTAAAGAACTGATATTCGAGTAGATAGGATCAGAATAAATACGTATATTTCTTAATTATTACTGTTGTAAGAGTCGATCAGCAATAGTAGCTAAATACGATGGATAAAGTGATTTAAAATTAACTAGCTAAAGAATTTGATATTCAAGTATAAAAGGTCAGATTAAAATAAAATTTATTTTGCTACTAATAGACGATAATAATTATATAATCAATAAGTTTCTCATGCATATGAAACTATTAATTCCACGAAAATCTGATATTAACTTGCTGCAAGAATCCAATATTTAAGTAGAATAGATGGATACTTTAGGTTGCAATTATCCAAAGTGTCAGCCTCGAAATAGTAAAAATGCCTATTACATCATTTTATAATGCTGCAATAATAATTAATTACCATGTACGATAGTTGATTGATCCATATAGTGATAGGAGTTTGATATAAGCAATATGATACACCAAATGATTATGGCAATGAAGAATAGGATTTATTCTTAAATGATGAAGAAATCATAGGAAGGAATTAAATACAGTAAGCAGGATTAAATTTTGTTTTATTTTTAAGATATTTACCTTCAAAATGTAGTCAAATTTTGCAACGAGCTAAAATAAGATAAGAAAGATAAAAAAAGATTTAGTTAATTACTGTATGAAACTGCTTTGCTAGCTCGTTTTTCTAAATTATTTACTATAAGCAGGAATCAATCTATCTAAAATACGGATATATGGTCAATGATAACTAAATCCTAAAAACGAGTAAATTAAGCTAATTAACTTAAGTGTTTTAAGTTAGACATATTCTTAGTGTTTACTAGGGCACAAACGTATAAAAGAATTTTATTTTGCAGCTGTTTTAATATTATCAACTTACTTGGTATGGAAATCACTCCATGCGAAGCAATACTAGTGCATACAATCGGAGCAAGTAGAAATAGAAGGAATGAACTGATTGATCTATTTGCCATTCAATGATCCAATTCAAGTTATTATTAGGATTAAAAGTGATTTCGACTGAAGATTGATTCTCAAGGTGAAAAGATGCAAGTCCTGTTCTCACAAGAAAAGCATGAAATGTCTTGCTGGCACGATAGGAAAAATTAATAACGTAGACAAACTCTGGCATTCTCAAATTCCTTATTTTATATTGATATTTATAAATTCGCACAGTAGGGGTGGGGAGAAATTAAACATAATAATTAGTAAGAATGATTAATAAATTATTTAAAATTAAACACAAGACTACTGCCTGGCAGTAATGAACTTGCAATTATTAAAATTAGTAATCCACTTCGAATTCCAGTGTAAACTAAGCTTGAAGGAAATCACCAGTTTCATATAAACGTAATGACAAACTTGCTAAAACTACGTTAAAGAATAATAGTAAGGACGGAATTACTGCCTTAACCAAGCAATCCACCAAGAAAATATCATTTACTTAATAAAATAGGCCTTCTAAGCTGCTCTTAATTACAGATACCTTGATAGTCTTATCATACTCTAGACAAATTTAGCTTGTCATAGTTAGTAGCTTATGACACATACAGTCTTCGTTATTTTCTATAATCATTTAGTATGTGTTACGATATAGCTTTAGAAGGATAGTTTTGCTTTATGTGCACCAGGAGTTTTTGACGAGACTATTAAAGGCTGATGCCTAAAGACCATTTTTAGTGAGTTAATTAGTCGGTTATTCGACTGGTTTGTCAATTGCTATTGAATTGTCAAGAGTATAATCTTGGCTGTCAAGATTTCTTCAGCAATAAATAGTAGTAAATCTTTGACTACCTCGTCTACATCATCAGTGACGTTATAATTATACTAATAGTATTCGGTTGTTGGAACTGAATTATGAAGGTGTTATAACCCTCGCTTGTGGTGAAGATTTTGTAAAGAAACTCTCGTGAAAGTATTTACAACTCGTTCTACATCCCCAGTATTTTCAGTCAATTTGAGTGATATATGAGAACTCGTTCTCTCGGCTGTACTCCACAGATGACTGATAAACTATTACATTTTTCTTCACTTTACGACTCCTGAACGCTTCTTAAGCAATTACTACTTTTATTTTACAACCACATACGCTTAAAGAGATTTCTACGGTAAACGCCAGTGTTAACTGGCGTGGATATATATTTTATAAGTTACATTAGTAGATTTATTCAATTACTAAATAGATACCAGTAGGTAGATATTCTGGAAGTTGAGGTGTTGAAATACTCTTTCTCCGTCCATAATTCCATATACGGCTCGATTATAATATTACTGCCTTTCACACCTTTTAGTAAATAGTAAATTAACTTGCAACAGTTCTATATCACGATTCTGCTACTAAACAATTTACTAGTACAAGCCTAGCAAAATTAAACATGATTTTATCTAGATTATTCTCAAGTATCGATAGTTAATTACCCGGTACTGCAGTACTGTTAACAGAAGGTTATTGCATAAATGATTATTCTTCAATGACTGTTCTTTAGTAATTGTCACGAGACTATAGTAGTGGAGAACGATCATCGCCATTATGATAGGAAGTTCTGTCAAATTGTGCTGAGTCGGTGAAATAATGTAAAGTTTCCTCTAATCTTTCATGAAATTCAATTTGTAAATTTACATTCATGTCATCAGTCCATTCTAGATATTCGATTTCATCCAGTAGATAAGAAAAATTTTGAGGACGATTCACAGAAATTGCTATGATTGCTCTCTCATCGATAATACACTTATTGATAATACTACGCAAATAATGATTGAAATTGTGACTATCGGATCGAGTGACATTGTCGTCCATAAGTATTAATATTATCAAGTTAAAGTATTGAATCTTTTCATAATAGACTTCTAGTTCGTATGTCTTTCCATTAATATTATTGATTTCCCACGTCCGACCGTCGAATGAGATATCCTGTAAGGAATTATCGACTAACTCGGTGACTGGACTTGGAATCGGGCCGTGACATGCAATTAGAATATTTTCTAAAATATCAGAAAAAGAAAATTAAATCATTAATAGTTTCATTGAAAGCGATTAATACCGCTACTCTTCTATTTCAAGATTAATTATATTTTAATATTAAGTAATCTAATATTCTAAGGCTACATACATTAATCATTGATTAAATACTCACGACGACTAGGAGTAACTTGACGGACTAATTCTTTCTTTCTTCTTACGATAGTTATTCTATAAACCGATCTGCTAATGACTGCTAGAAACACAATAGCAGCGGTAAATAAGCCAAGCAGAGCAATAGGTAAATTACTTGGTTTGTCGACTATCGTAGCATTCATAGTTTGAAAAATAGAAAAAATTAATCGAGATTAAGATATTCTCACGAATGAAGATGGCAATAAACGACTACAATAATTATCCTACTATCAAATAAATAATTTTATATTATAGTAGATTTGGGTAAAGACTGAAAATTACTCATTGAATAAGATTTTATAAATTTTGAATGTGCTCATGAAAATATATACGGCTATCGATGATGATTATTCGTTTTATTCGTAAATGCTATCGTTGGAGTATGCAGCACAGTGCTCAGATTGAAGGTGAGAATCAATGATTTATCCACGATTAATATTGTAAATTAGCTAAGAGAAATGATATCACACAATGATCACTACTCATTAAATTCACGTTAAGAGATACTACTTCCTAAAGCAGTACTTTCGTCAAGAAATGATACAGCATACCGCAATAGCTTAGGATTATATATTTGTACTGTATACGGCTAGCTACGGGTATACGCTCATGAATATAAAATAGCAAATTTTATTTTGTTGAATGTTCTTGCCATGTATCGTACTCTACTTCAGTTTCATCGATTGCAAAATTAATTTATCTGAAGCCTGTTAATGAAAAGATCATACGATCCTTAATATCGACTATTGATCATATTCTCGTCAAGGAACTTTATATTTCTTTTAGAGTAAAACAGAATCAGAAACTAGAACTGAGGATGAATTATTTTGGGGTAATTACCCTATGCGTACTAAATTTGTTAAGCAAATGATATAATGATTAATGATTACTTATCAGATTCTCATCGTGAAACTATCAGTGTATTAAGTAGAGCCATTTATTTCTTCAGAGTACGAAGTAATCAGATAGTAGGTAAAATGCGTATAAAGGCACTTGTGGATTCGTGAAAGATAATATTTGCAGTAAAATGTTATCGCGAAGTTAATATTCTCCGTTGCAGGGAAACGATAAGAATTACTGTATAGTTCAAGTAGATGATTCATTTTCTAATTTACTGAAAATAGGTTAAGGACATTCATAAATACAAATAGGATTGTTGTTAGGAACTATAAGGATATTTAAAGAAGAATAGTAACTGCAATAAAGGTGGGATATAATCTGTCAAATTTCCTGAATAGAATTTTTCCATACTACCAGATACAGTAATTTATTTATTCAGAGTGCAAGACAATCAGTAATTTATTTATTCAGAGTGTAAGGCCATCAGATAATGGCTGTGTATAAAGTTATCCGTAGATTCATAGAAGATAATATTTACTGTAAGTGTTATCGTACACTTAATCTGATCTGCTGTGGAGAATGATAATAATTGCGGTGTAATCTAAACGCATGATCTAATCTCCAAGTTAGTAAAATTTAGTCAAGGGCATTTGTAAATACGAATATGCTACTTTGCATCACTACGATAAAAAATAAGCAGTTGGATTGTTCACTAACGAAGGATCGATCGATCGAGAGAATTTACGACAGAATAATGTTACATCTCGCTATCTTCATTATAAATATCGTTTTATACTGGTTACAATCTTAAATTCAAAAATCTGCAATAGCCTTTGTGAATAAATCATATTTGAAAATTAATCCTTAACGTATGACGATGTATTTCAAATCCAGTTTAAAAATCTTACAACTAAGTGTTAAAAGTATAATTTCTTACATTAATTAATATGCAAATCTAGCAGTCTAATTTATAATGGATTAACTCCTATATTCAGTTGATGAATATCACTTAAAAGCCGATTCTATTTTAACTTACAAGCTTTATCAGTCTAATTTATGCTGGATTAACCCGTTGCATTCGGTTGATTATCATTTAAAAGCTGTAACGAAACTTAGTATTGTGATTATAGACTTTTAGACATGTTAGTAAGATGTACGGAAGCGTAACTTTCTATTTATCTTAAGACGTATTTGGTAGCTCGCTACTATAGACTTTAATGGTAGATAATCGCGGCTCTGACTACCACGAAATGAGTATAAGCTGGCAACTTTAGACTGCTCAGTTCGTTCTTCCTAGAATTCCTTCAATAGTTGTATTCGGCTAGAGTAGAGCCTTGTGTAGCTAGTCTTTGTATTAGATCTAATAAAGTTCTAATTTTCTACAACTTTGGAATTTTCATGATTGGATTTTATCACGAAAGCTTATTGTATTCTAACTTGAAAATTCTAGTCGACACAATTGATGCTGGATTAAACTTTAATAGTCGATTGAGTATCTCTTTAAAGCCGATTTTATTTTAATTTGCAAATGTAGTCAGTATAATTTGAGCTGGATTAAACCGTTGCAGTCGGTCGATTATCGCATAAAAGCCGATTCTATTTTATATTGCAAAAGCAGTCTAGTATAATTTGAACTGGATTAAACCGTTATAGGTGGGTGATTATTGCCTGAAAATCGAATCTAGTGTAACTTGTTAAGCTAGCATGTACAATTTGGGATAGATTACATTGCTAAATTTAAGATGAATGTTACTTAAATACTGATCTTATCTAGCTTCTAAATCGAATAAATCTAAATTATGATCGATTAACCGCTTCATTCAACATATAGATTACTAGATGAAGATAATATTTACGTAGCTTGAATCAATCGTATGTACAGTATACTGGATTAACTAATATACTCAAGATGAATATTACTTGACACAGAGAATATTTAATTCGCAAACCCTATCAATCTTATCTGAGCTGAATTTGCCAATAAATTCAATCATTATAATATCCAATTTGGCGGCCAGAGTAAAATGACTAATACGAATCGAAATTGTACTGCTATAACATAATATCAGAAATTAGAAGAAATCTTACCTTGAGGTGGTGCAACATTCCAGGTCGACTTGGATCGTATAAATCCGCAGAGATTTTTAGATGCACATGAAAAATTTCCAGTCTGTTCAGGTTGAGTTCGATCAAGGATTAGAGTACTACGAATAGTTTGATTGATAGTCTCAATAGTAGTATAATTTGATTTGGGTATAAAGTTTTCGATTCTGCCATGATAAGATCTTATCCAAGTGATTGTCGGTCTTGGGTTTCCACTCGCTATACATTGAAGTCCTACTTTTGGAGAGTTATCTTGCAGTGAGCTATTAACTATACCATTATTAACACATTCTAAATTCAATATAGAAATTAGAAAAAAAATGCTAGGATTAAACTAAGGCTACCATAAGTATAAATCATTGATAAACTTTAACATTTTATTTTACAATAGCTGATAATGCAACAGATATTCAACGGTATTGGTCGGAGCTAGTAACAAATTAATAGTACGTTTCTAGTTTTGAAATTGAACAATCATTCTTAATATTACCTCGAGCTTCTAAATCGACAAATGATTGACTTGACAATATACATCCACAGTTGTGACCAGCAAATAAAAAACTGTAATTGCCTAAATCGTTGCTAGTTAGATTTTTAAGTACCAAAGTAAAGTCATAAATACAGCAGTCATCTCTCCTAGGACAGTCTTTTCGAGTAATGACTACACTGTTATCATTATCTGCAACAACATTATTTCGAAGAAAGCAGCATTCAGCGTTAGCCACGCAGTCACCAATCCTGCAACCTGCTGTATTAAATTTCACTCTAAATGTAAGATTGTATGGAAAATTAAAATATCCAAATTGTTGAGACTTCGAGGGTAATACTTGGCACGGGCTATCTTCAACTTAATCAGTCATAAAAAAGGAAAACAAAAATAACTCTACGTTAATAAGTCTAAGTCAATTTCTTGCCATAAAAAAGCTTTAAAATGATAATCATTAATTATTATAGAGTGTAAAATAATACAATTGATCAATTCGACGCTGAAACTATTTTAAACTAAGAATAAAATAACAATTAAACGATTAATTAATTAATTATCGACATGAGCCAGATCGATTAACTCATTACATGATTTAACACTATGGTAATAATTATTTAATTACTTAACAAACAACCACAGTATTTGATAAAACTGCCGTATAATCGGTGTTTAGAGCAGAGTTCATTTAGACTAGAACTGAATTATTAGCTAAAGAATTGATATCCAAGGAGAAATGACAGAAATAAAAATAGTTTATCGTTTTCTACGACTAAAATATTATAGATAAATCAACGTAGAATCAACTCTAAACTATCTCAAAGGTGTCAGCTGACGAGCTGATCTCGCTATACGAGAATAAATCAGGATGAATTGTTTCATAATTTATCGTGCCGTAAAATTGTATAATCGATCGTTTAATAATAAGAACTTGATATAAGTGATAAAATAGATGAAAATCTAGGAGAAGTAAGCAATTGCATTTCGATCTGGATAGTTGAAATATTCTTGAAAGAGATGATATTAAAATTAAACTAGATAAAACATGAATTAAATTTATGATACTTACCAACAAAAGGAAAGTCTGGCATCTTACAACGTGCTAAAAAAGTTAAATTATAAAAGCTTTCAGTTATTTTCTACCGAAATATAGGATGCTAGATACCGTCTATTAAAAGTCCTCACAATGAAGTAAAAACTAAAAAGATTGAAAACTATGGATATGTGATCAAATGTAATCTGAAATTCAAAGGTGAGTAATGAAGGAGCAAATAGAACTATGACATAATTGTAGATGTCCTTAACATCAAGTCTGGATAAAAAATTGATATTGTAGCAGTCCTGTCTTTAATAACCTACGCGGTAAACTATTTTCTTTCTTCAGAGAAAAGTCATCACTCCCAACACAATAAAGAGCTAAATTGAAAAGTAAAATCCATGAAATGATCGAATTTTCCGCCATCTAATGATTTATTTTTGGGTGATTGGGTAAATATCCAAAGTAGCTTTCCTAGAAATCTGATTTATGAATGCGATGAGATAATAATCGAATTTTTATATATTACAGTATAGGATGGCTCGCCTAGTCTAAGGCTATAGAAAAAAGACTCAGTAGGGAAAATTAAGTAAACATACGTGGGGAGCAGAAATATATACGAGCAATATCAATCTTGTTTTAATAAAAGCGTCTCACAAGAACTATCTTAGTCGAATTATATTTTCTAAAAGGCTTTTATTACAAGATTTTAGGAATAGTAGAGCAATAATTAATGACAAGAATCTTGTCTAAAATCTAAAAGTATTACAAAAACCTAGTCTAAAATCTAAAGTATTCCGAGCTCAAAGTGAAGTGAAGTCTCTTCTCCTCTGTGAGCTCATCCCTGTAGTTCTTATAAATATTTCGTTAAATCCATTTATGACAACTTGATTAATCTAAAATCAGATATGAGTCATCAAACAAAATACTTTTCTCTAATAGTACATTATTATTTTCTACAATCTAAATCATTCTACTTAAGATGTTATTACTCTTCCATGAACGTCTAGGCCCTTTCTTCGAAGGGCATCTTAACAACTACAGTGTTTCTAGCTACATAAATCTTATACCATAATTAGTCAACTGGCTACTATTAGTAATCAACAATTTCTAATATAGTAGTTAGCAATCATCTAATATTAGCTTCACGGTAATATCTATTCAAAGCAACCTAATTATATCAAATATAGCTATCCGTAGAATCAAATATGGGTGCACCACAACACTTGTATATAAAAGTCTACTAGATGATATCATGCTATTTAGAAGAAGACGAAACCCAGAGATATTCTAGTAGGAATTAGAAAGTTTATTTGTAGATAGTTGATTTCATCAATCAATCATGTCGTATAAAACTTATATAAATAAGAATCTGTTTAATCGTTTATTACTCATCTTAAGCAAAACCAAACTATAAAGTGTAACCGAAGGCTATAGACCATCCTAAGTATAGAAAAGGGAACAAACCCGCTTACATGTATCACACTAAAAACAACTTCTTTCTTTCTTTTTATTATATTATCTATTGAATTTCTCAATTTATTATTGATTTCAGGTATTATAAAATCTAATCACAGACAAGTAAAGTAGAAGATACTGGAGTGCACAGGATAGTCTTGCATTTGACTATTTTATTAGACTACTTTATTTATTAAGTATCAAAACTGAAATGACAATAATATTAATTTAAAATGGCTAGCCTATATTGATTAATAAATAGATTCTGTTATTCTTACTAAAAATATTCTGTTAATCTAAAAATTTTAACGAAGTTGCAAAATTTCCTCCGACAGTTTCGTCTGTTATACATACCAGTGTGTACTTATGTATTTCAAAAAGAATCTCAGTTACCTTTGTAGTTAAATAGTGACTTTTCAGTTAACAAAAAATCTCCTTTGACTCGATTAGTTACTGGATTAGGGCCCAAATGATAATTTAATGGAATTTCCTCACTGTTATTTTTTGGCAGTAACTTAACATGAAGTCAAAACAAGATAAAACGAAAATAACATAGACGATTTTATTGCATTATGATATAAAAATTTGACTAAAATAATTCGAGCATAATTCTAAGATTACCTAATCTAATCAATTCGATTGCATCAAATTATACAATCATCAATACGTGCAGTAAGAATTTGATACGTATGAAATTTAATGCCAATCTTGCAAAGCAAGTATTTTATCACCATACCCGTTAAACTATTGCTATATTAAATACAGTCGGTATAATTTCTATCAACACTAGCTTAATTAACAATAATAATAATTAAACTAGCTTTAAGTATCTAGATTTACGTTCTAATATAGACAGAATGCATCTTATGCTATCTAAAAGACTGTAGCACGCTGTCACAAACCAGCTTCGTGACAAGGATAACGTAAAATAAATCTCTAAATTACTATAGTCTCCGAGATTCAGTATCCCTACTCACAAGAATTTAGAAGCCTTTGATTCTACGTTAAACTCAACTAGACAATTGAGAACTACTTTATTCAACTATCTGGCGAGCTTATATACCCTTCTACAGCAGCTAATATTCATGAGTCATCTTATAAAAATACTTAGGTGAGAATATCTACTAACTAATTTTTCACAGTCGGACTATAATATGTCCATTCACAGAATCATTTCAGTACACATTACAGCACAGCATTAAATTTACTGTAACACATTTACAATTAGAGTAATTTCTATTTTAAGTAACCAGTTGTAATATATTATCACTATATATTAACCAAATTTAGATAGCTATTTCTTCACGGTAGTTCGTGCCGTGACACACTCTCATTATCATCCTTACTATTAACATTTTTATGACGGTCATTGATATCGTTGTTGTTAGTGCTAGGAGACATTAGAAACATATATAGGGTTGGCGCTACTACAATAACTTATGTATCATTGCTCGAATGTGAATTGAAATGATACCCTATATCTGTGCGTAGATATTCGAAAGTTTCTGCTTTATCCTCTTCACTTATGATACTTCAATTATGTTATACGACAATATAAATCGAAATATCATATGCGCAAAATGTGATATTTTCGTAAGTGTTGTAATATATTGACTGTAAAAATCGTGAATAGCCTATCCACTTTAATTTATTGACAAATTGATTTTAAAATAATAATATCCTCAGCAAAATATTGTATACTCGCTTAAAGGTGCCAAAGTCATGCGTATGAAAATTTAATACAACGCGTACTTGAGTTGTTGCTTTATTTTCGCTGCTGATTTACGATCTCATGTTGTATAATGTAATCAAACAAGATTATAGCCATATGAGACTGGTCTACAATTCTAAAATTATCATTAGGAGTAGGCAGTGTATTAGTATAACTACTCTCCCAAATGTTCTGATACAAAATTTCTTACAATATAGTTTTGCTAATGCGTCACAAAACTTATTACCTTGAAGTTAAGATGTACGACAAGAAAGCATGATCTCTTATAGTTTATATTGCTGTCACGGTAATAACTACTTTAAAGAATCAGATAACTGAATTTAGCCAATTCAATATTTCTACAGGTTGATTATAATAAATTATTTGCAATAGGAATCTGTAGTTGTAATTTGTTGCAGTAAATTATGTGTCGTAATATACGAGTAGGTAAGAATTCTTACGTAGAAATTACCATTAATTGATTTTAGAACTGCTAGTTGTGACTGCAATCCTGATGATAACCGTTTATGATTATAGTTTATGCTGTAAGTAATTCTGTAAATAAACATTCTGCAGTCCAATTATCTAGAATTAGTCAATAGATATCCATAGTTCGATATATTAATCTATTGATTTGGTTGCCAAATATGATTAGAATAGTACAATGATTCATCTAAATTAACTGTTGCCATAGAGTAATTAATACTAACTAGATTACGGAGACCTTAGAAATTTAGAGATTGACGTTAATGTAACCTTTGTTACCAAGTTGTTTGATGATAATTACATATTAGTATTGTCTAAATTTTATAACTCTTAACCTTATGAAAGTTGTTACACAGTAATTGTGCCATTATGACTTCTTTTTAATAATGATGGTCACGGGACTGTAGCAGTGGAGATTCATCATCATCATCTCCAAGAAAATAAACAGATTCGCCATCATCATAAGCAGTTCTGTCGAATTGTGCTGAGTCGGTGAAATAATGTAAAGTTTCCTCTAATCTTTCATGAAATTCAATTTGTAAATTTACATTCATGTCATCAGTCCATTCTAGATATTCGATTTCATCCAGTAGATAAGAAAAATTTTGAGGACGATTCACAGAAATTGCTATGATTGCTCTCTCATCGATAATACACTTATTGATAATACTACGCAAATAATGATTGAAATTGTGACTATCGGATCGAGTGACATTGTCGTCCATAAGTATTAATATTATCAAGTTAAAGTATTGAATCTTTTCATAATAGACTTCTAGTTCGTATGTCTTTCCATTAATATTATTGATTTCCCACATCCGACCGTCGAATGAGATATCCTGTAAGGAATTATCGACTAACTCGGTGACTGGACTTGGAATCGGGCCGTGACATGCAATTAGAATATTTTCTAAAATATCAGAAAAAGAAAATTAAATCATTAATAGTTTCATTGAAAGCGATTAATACCGCTACTCTTCTATTTCAAGATTAATTATATTTTAATATTAAGTAATCTAATATTCTAAGGCTACATACATTAATCATTGATTAAATACTCACGACGACTAGGAGTAACTTGACGGACTAATTCTTTCTTTCTTCTTACGATAGTTCTTCTATAAACCGATCTGCTAATGACTGCCAGAAACGCAATAGCAGCGATACTGGTAGATAAGCCAATCAGAATAAAAGGTAAAAAATATTTTGGTTTGTCGACTATCGTAGCATTCATAGTTTGAAAAATAGAAAAAATTAATCGAGATTAAGATATTCTCACGAATGAAGATGGCAATAAACGACTACAATAATTATCCTACTATCAAGCAAGTAATTCTATAGCACAGTAGATTTAGATGAAGACTAAAAATTGCCGTACTCATTGAATAAGAATTATAGAATTTAAATATACATGTGAAAATACGAGTATATACGCCCATCGATGACGATTATTCGTTTTATTCGTAAATGCTATCGTTGGAGTATGCAGCACAGTGCTCAGATTGAAGGCAAAAATAGCACTTTCGTCAGAAAATGATACAGCATAATACCTTTAAGATATCAATTATGGCCTTGAATAATCCATTTACACAAGATTAGCTACCGGTATGCGTTAACGAATATGAAATGACAAATTCTATTTTACAGCGTACTCTTGCTACGTGTATATGCTGTACTCCAATTTCATTCTATAGCGAAATTAATTTTTTATCGTAAGCCTGTGAAAAGATCATTCAATTATAGTTATTGGTGTTGACTATTTATATCATATTCTTTTAAAGAAATTCTTTAATTTTTTAGAGTAAAACAGGAATAGGTTTAAAGGTATCTATGGATTCGTAGAAGATAGATAATATTTATAGTAAAATATTAATGTAAAGTTAATGTGCTCGACTACGAAGAATCATCAAAATTTAGGTTTAATTCAAGCTGATGGTCTATTCTCTTATTTAGTGAAAATTAGTTAAGGATATATGTAAATACGAATAGGGTTGTTATTGGGAACTACAAGGAATTTTAAAGAAAAGAAGTAAATGCAATAAAGGTAGGGCATAATCTGTCGAATTGCCTAAATAGAATTCTTTCATGCTACTTTGCATTACGACGGCAAGGAATGAGTGGTTAGGTTACTCACTAACCTAGGATCGGGCGAGAGAATTTGCAATGGAATAGTATTATTACAGGATATAGAACTTAACATGAGTCGTAGAAAACTTTCTAGCTATCTTAACGCTAAATATCCTTTTATACTGGTTAAAACTTAAATTTGAAGATCTATAATAAATAGTCTTACGTAAGTAAATCATGATTGAACTTAATCCTTTAGGTATGGCGAAGTATAACAAATCAAGGTTAAAAATCTTATAACTGAGTATTAGAAGTACAAACTCTTCTCTGTGGTACTTGATTGAAACAAAAAATGACTTATCGAAAAGTTTCAGTATATTATTGAATGCTATCGCAAAAAGAAAAATTATGCGTGTAGTTGTAAAAAAATCAATTCCTTTTAATGAACTTCTGTCAATATCAACACGGATTGATGAATATTACATGAAAGCTGATCATCTTTTAACTTGTATATCTAGTCTAATTTGTAAGAGATTAAGCGTTATTTTCAGGATGAATATCACTTGAAAAATGACCCTATATTAACATGCGAATCTAGCGTAGTCTGACTTATATTGGATTAAACGCTATATTCAGTCGATAGATAGTACTTGAAAGCCGATTCTATTTTAAGTTGCAAATTTCGTCAGACTAATTTACACTATGTTAATCCGTTACAGTCGGTTGATTATGATTATTGCTTGAAAGCCGATTCTATTCTAACTTGAAATATCCTACCAAGTACAATTGATGCTAAATTAAACTCTTATAGTCGGTTGATTATTGTTTGAGAGCCGATTCTAATTTAACTTGTAAAACTATCAAGTACAATTTACGATAGATTAAATCGCTAAATTCAAGATGAAATATCACTTAAATATGGATCTTATTTGGTTTCTAAATGGAATCGATCTAAACTATGCTCGATCAATCGCGTCATTGAACATAAAGATTACTAGATGTAGATAATATTTACATAGCAACTCGAATCAATCTAAAGTATACTGGATTAACTAATATACTCAAGATGAATATTACTTGAAGCAAAGAATATTTAATTTATGAATCCTATTAACCTCATGAGAATTTGCTGATAAATTCAATCATTATAAAACCCAATTTTGTGTCCAGAGCAAAAAAATGACGATTGTGAATCAAAGCTGTGTTGCAATAAGATAATTTAAGAAATAGAAAAAAATCTTACCAGAAGGTGGTGTAACGTTCCAAATAGAATTAGATCGTACAGATTTGCAGAGATTATTAGATTTGCATGAAAAATTTCCAGTCTGGTATGCTTGAGTTCGATCCAGGTTTAAAGTACTATGAATAGTAGTTTGACTGATAATATTAATTACAATATGATTTGGTTTGGCTATAAAATCATCGTCTTTGCCATCATTATATCTTGTCCAGACGATTGTTGGCCTTGGGTTTCCACTAGCTGTACACTGAAGTGCTACTTTTGTAGATGATGTATCTTGCCTTGTGCTATTAATTATACCATCATTAATGCATTCTATTTACAATATAGAAATTGGAAAAACAGTACTTGAATTAAACTAGAGCAGCCAAAACTATAAGTCATTGATAAACTTCAATACTATGATTCACAGTAGTGGATAATGTAACAGATATTCAACAGAATTGGCCGCAGCCAGTACCAAACTAATGCTACATATATAATTTTCAAATTAAATGATCATTCTTAATAGTACCTCGAGCTTTTAAATCGACGAATAATTGATTTGACAGTATGCATCCACAGCTATGAGAACCGAATAAGAAACTGTAATTGCCTAAATCATTAGCCGTTAGATTTCTAAGGGCTAAAGTAAAGTTATAGATAAAGCAAAAATTTCCTTGATTTTCCCCAGGACAAGCGTAATAGGAAATGCTCACATCTCTTTTATTATTATCTACAACAATATTATTTCGTAGAAAACAGTATTCAGATCTTTCCTTGCATTGGTTATTACCATCTTTAAATTTCACTCTAAATGTAAGATTATACGGGAAATCAAAATATCCAAATTGTTGTGACTCGTATCCTAATATTTGGCAATGCTTATCTTCAACGTAATCAATCATAAAGAGGAGAAAAAATAACTCCATGTTAATTAGTCTGTCCAACGCAATTTCTCGCTTAAAATGAAGCTTTAAAATGATTATCATCAATCGATGTAGAATGTAATCTAATACAATCGATCTATTCGATGCAGAATCTATTTTAAGTTAAGAGTAAAATATCGATTGAACGATTAATTATCAATTTGGGCTAGATCGATCGATTTCTTACATGATTTAATACTATGACAATAATTATTGAATTGTTCAACTAACAAGTAAATGTGATATTCAATAAAACTGTACTATTTTGTGTGCTTAGAGGAGAATTTATTTTAATTATAACTAAATTATTAGCTAAAGAATTGATAACCAAATAGAAATGACTGAGATTAATATAGAATATCATTTTCTACTGCTAAATTATTATAGACAACTAGTGCAATAGATAAATTAATTTAGAATTAACTCTAAACTACCTCTAAGATATCAGCTAACGAACTGATCTCGTTATAAGAGAGTAAATCAGGATAAAAATTGTATTATAATTTATCGTGCTGTGGTAATTATATAGTCAATCGTTTAATAATAAAAACTTGGTATAAATGATGAAGTAGATGAATATATTGTAGAAGTAAGTAATCGCAATTGGGCTAGATAGTTCAAATTTCTAGAAAAAGACTATATGGAGATTAACAAGGTAAACATAAATTGACCTTATGCTACTTACCCGTTGGAGGATTATCGGGCAACTTACAACGTGCTAAAACGATAAATGATAAAAGCTTTCAGTTGTTTGCTACCCGAATATAGGATGCCAGATATTACCTATTAAACTTTTTTGCAATGAAGTAAGACTAAACCGATCAAAAAATATCGATATGTGATCAATTAATTATAAGCTAAATCCAAAGATGGACTAAAAACGAGTAGATAATACTTGGATAACTGTTGGTATCCGTTAAATTGAGTCTAAATGAAAAAATCGATATAACAGCTGTCTTATCATTAGTAACCTACGCGGTAAAGCGTTTTCTGTCTTCGGATAGAGAGCATTGCATCCAATAAGAGCTAAATTGAAAAATAAAATCCACGATATGATTGATTCTTCCGCCATCTAAAAATTTACTTTTGGGTAACTATTAGAGGGTCTAAAGCAGTTGCAAATAAAGAAGATGGATTAAGAACGAGTAGATAATACCCACTGAAATTTGATTTATGAATACGATATGAGTTACAATAGTGGTCAGTAGGAAATAGAAGATTAATGTAAACACGCATATAAATGAGTAAATAAACAGTAATGCAAGAGCAATATTAATCCTGTATATGAATATTCATGATGTCATGCTGTTCGTTTAGAAGAAGGCAAAATACCAAACATTCTAGTACAAATTAAAAAATTTCGCTAAAGACAGTGAGTTTTATCAATTTTATCCCATAAGATAATAAGAAATAATTTAATCGTTTATTGCTCTTTTTAAGCATACTTACGGTATAAAACCAAACCAAAGGGTGCAGATCATGCTAAGTATTGCTAAGGGGATCAAATCGCTTGTGAGATCTGTATTACGCCAAAATAAATTCTTACCTTTTATGTTATATTATCTACTAATTTTCCTAACTTGTTATTGATTCCAGGTATTATAAAATCGAATTACAGATCATGTAAAGACTGCAGTTAAATAAAATCTAATCATAGATCATGTAAGGACCATAGTTAAAAGAATCTAATCGCCAGTCACTTAAAGACTGTAGTTAATTAAAATCTAACCACAGATCATGTCAAGTAGAAAATACTATAGTACACGGGATACGCGTATATTTACTTATTACACTAGAATGTTTTATCTATCAAGTTGGCTGCTAATATATTCGGTTTTTACCCATTTAGAGGAAACTATTAAAATCGTGTTCCATGAGTAGAAATTATCGTTTTTTAAAATGAACGTTGATATTTCAGTTGATGATACCGAATTAAATGATTTATTTACTAGGAGTAGTCAATATGCCTTATCTTATTAACACCTAAACGATAGTGTAGTAAAAGGACTAAAAGTAGAGTCCTTTGTAGTTTTTTTTGTATGTAATTAGTATTGTTTTACTATAGAAAATACCTAGAAAGTGATAGTGTCTTTAAGTTTTACCCTGCCAAATCATCATGTCGCCATCTTTTCTTCTTCATTATTTTACAAGGTATTATATAGATTACTATAGAAGTAGCCCTATAGAGCAAATGCCTAATCTAAAGAAAGGGCGTTTGACTGTCTATTCAAATTGTAAAGAAATTTGACTTAGTAGCAAAACCCTATCCTTAGAGAAAGGGGATTTATAACATGACGATAAAGTACTGCAATGTAGTCTATACTCGTACAGTTACAGTACAATCTGACGCTAAAACATCAACTGTCAATACTCGCGAATACTAAGCGATACTAATGTCAGAAAAGTAGTCGTAGTAGTCATATAAAATTTTTTGATAAGCGATTACTGTGATCTTCATAAAAAGCGAATTTTTCCGGATTTGTGTCCGATATAGTTTTCGGATTCTGGGACCGGTCGGGTTTGTGTCCGATATAATTTTCCTGTTTTGGAACCGGTCGGGTTTATTTTTAATTTATGTCTGAATTATAATTTTTCTGTTTTAATTTTTGGATTTTTGTTCATGAAAAATATCGTAAGAGTTGATTTTTGAGATTTGGACTTTTTGTTATGAATTTGAAACTTTGGAATTTTATGACGTGACTTGAAGTCACATTAGGAGATTTAGTGAGGAAAATAGAAAATAAGATGGAAATTGGCAGAGGTTGTGTTGATTGTTAGGTAGTTAGAATGTTGTTTTTATGACTAAATCTTGATGTTTAAAGGTTGATTTTTAGACTTTTATAGCGTATTAATGATAGAAATTATGTTAGAAATGAAGTTTGATGTATTTTTATAGTTAGCTTGTTACTTTTATAGTGTTTTGTAAGGGAATCGTAGGGTAAATTGTGTCTGAACTTTGAATGATTTTTGTTTTCTTAAATGGTGCAAAGTAGTTTTCTAAAACGGATCTTAAGAGCGATTGGTTAGCAAATGTTCAGTTTTAAATACCTCAGACGGCTCTACGAAGCCTATAAATGATAGTGCAATTAGAAAATTTAGAGAGAGAGTAGAAGAAGATTTTATTTGAAGAACTTGTTGAATTTAAAAGGCCTTCGGGGTCGAATTGTCGTAAGTTAAAACGTTCTTCTCTTTGAAAGGTTGTTTGGTCGTTGGCAGTTTTTAAGTCTGTCATTTATTTTAATAATACTTAAAGCTAAGTATTTGTGCGGTTGTTCGGTTTATACTTCTCTCCATTTTTGTTTTGAAATAAATTGTTGTTCGGTTATTTCCCCAAATTTTATTTGGTGTCAAAGTATTAGCGTTAAGTCGACCGGAGTGCAACGAAAGTAGAATCAAAGTTTGTTAAAGTTTTGTAGCTTGATCTCTACACTTTTCATTTCATTACAATAGTAATATTAGCCTAAAAGGGCTAGCTTGTATTAATTAGTAAATAGATTCTATTTCTCTTCTTAAGAATACGCTATTAATCTAAAAGTTATAATGAAATTGCAAAATTTCCTTAGATAATATTTTCTGTTTGCGGTATAGCCCTAAATTATCCTAAGATTACCATTGCAAGATTGTAGCGAGAATAGTTAAACTTGTATATTGGGTTATAAGATTATCTACATGCTTATTTGTAGAAGATGATTACAGTGCATATTATTGCAATTCTATAGAGATTCGTATATTAAGATCTCAAAATGTATATAGCTTGGGCTAAGTAAATTATTACTGTGAGATTTGTATTATCACACTTTAACTAGGAGCGTAAGTTATGAATAGATCACGCAATAGTAAATTTAAAACTGATCTTGCTACTTAGTTGGCAAGGTATGATTAACTAAGGGAAATTCCATTTTGTAACCGATTACATGTAAGTAATGAATTTTACTGTAACACTTTAGGTAGTCTGATTGCAGCTAGATAGATACTCTTCGGTAGTTGTAAGACGAAGCTAAATTTATGAAATTAAGTGAAGTTCACAAGAAACTTTAGTTCTTGTTTTATTTTTAAGAAGACACTTGATCATACTGCCATATCTACCAGTATGAGCTTACGTATTTCAATAAGGAGAATCTCAGTTAACTTTATACTTAAATAAATACTTTTCAGTATTCGAAAATTAATCATAAAATCTCCGCTAACTTTATTAATTACTTAATTACTTTACTCAACAATGATTTACTGGAATCTCCTATTATCTTTCACTGCAACTAAACATGAATTCAAAATAAGGTTAAATGAAAACAGCTAAAATGATTTTATTGCGCTGGGGTACCAAAAATTGGTCAAAATGATTCGAGCATGACTTTAATTTTATCTAATCTATGTCCGGCAAATCTCTTTAATTATATTAAATTATACAGTCATCAATACGTACAGTAAGAATTCAAGACATTTGAAAATTAACTGCCAATCTGGCAAAGTAAGTATTTTATCTACAAAGCCGCTAAACTAAAGTACTGTTATACGAAATACCATCGGTACAATTTTCATCCAAACTAACGTAATTAACAATAATAGCTAAACTAGCTTGAGTATCTACTTTTTATATTCTGATATCATAAACGGAGTGTATTTTACGCCTCTTTAAAAGAACGTAACATGCTTACTTTTACCGTTACCATTAGCATTTTGATCATAGTAATTGATATTATCACTATTGCTTGTACTAGCAAACATTGGAAATACATACAGGGTTGGCGCTACTACGATAAAGTTATGCATCATAGCTCGAATATGAATTTAAATGATATTGCATATCAGTATATAGGTGTTCGAGAGTTTCTACCTTATTCTCGTCACTTCCATTACTATCGTATCAACAACATTCAAATTTTTTATCAAGAATTTCTGGATAGCTTCGAGGATTATTTATAAGAACCGACATAAACGGAAGATTGTCATTACAATCCCGGATATTTTTTAAACGTGGTCTAAAGTGTCTACATTCAGTTCTA